AAACCAGGTAACAAAAAATTGGAGCCAGACTTACAAAACCGATCCTAGATTTATAAAACCGATCCTAGAGTTACAAAACTGATCCTAGACTTACAAAACGAAAAAAAAAGATTAAAAAAACGAGAAAAAACTTCAAAAACTTGGAAAATCTATCAAGGACTTGACAAACTCATCCAGGACTTGAGAAACCGCTTCTGGACTTACAAAACCAGTCCTAGACTTACAAAACCGATCCTAGACTTACAAAACCGATCCTAGACTTACAAAATCGATCCTATACTTACAAAACCGATCCTAGAGTTACAAAACCGCTCCTAGACTTACAAAACCGGTCCTAGAATTACAAAACCGGTCCTAGACTTACAAAACCGGTCCTAGACTTACAAAACCGGTCCTAGACTTACAAAACCGGCCCTAAACTTACAAAACCAATCAAAAAGACAAGCAAAAATTCAAAAACATGGAAAACCGATCAAGGACAAGACAAGATCATCAAGGACTTGGGAAACTCATCCAGGTGTTGAGAAAATCATCCAGGACTAAAGAAACTCATCCAAGACTAAAGAAATCAATCCAGGACTTAAGAAACTTAAGAAATCGATCTAGGACTTGAAAAACCGATCCAAGACTTAAAAAACAGATGCAAAATTCAAAAGACAGATCAAAGATTCGAGAAACAGATTTAGGATTCGAAAAACAGATAAAAGATTCGAGAAACAGATCCAGAATTCAAAAAACTGATCCAGAATTCGAGAAACAGATAGCAAAATTTCCAATCAAACAGGATTTGCAAAATCGATTCATGGCTTGGAAAATTGTTTCAGGGCTTGAGAAACCGATCCAGGACTTAGAAAACCGATTCCAACTTGAATAATAGATCTAGGAATAGAAAAATGCATCCAGGATTTCAAAAACTGACCCTAAACGTAAAATACCAATTCAAGACTTGAGTCTTGTTGTTAAAAATAGATTGAGTTGAAGTTCTTGAAAATACAAGTCCTAAATACTCCAGGTTCTGAAAAACTCCAGCTACTGGAAAAACTACTTCTTGAAAAAAAACAGATCTTGGAAAAACCCAGCTCCTGGAATACTCTAGCTTCTCAAAAAATACCTCTCGATAATGTAGATCAAGAAAAACCATATCTACAAAAAACCAAGTCCAGAAAAACCAAGAAAATCGATCAAACTCAAGTTGACCTTATTGCAAAACTAAAAAGTTAATAAAAATAACAAACAACATCAATATTTGTCATTTTTCCAATATTTTCCCTTACCATCATAATTGTGGGAAGCAGGTGCAGTCGGTACCAATCCAGGAACTGGATTGTAGACTTCTGATGACCAGCATCGTCCAGTTGAAGCATTTACAATATCCATCAAGGTTTTAGGATCCAAACCCAACCTAAATAGAAAGAAAAGTAAAATTTAGAAACTGATAATAAGGATTTTTGGAGCTGGATATGTATTTAGTCACCTTTTGCCTAAGTTCATACATTCTGACACTCCAATCATGCTGATGGCTAGTAACATGTTGTTGCAGATCTAGAAAAGAAAAAGAATAATAACTAGTGGTGTATGGCATCGTGCCTTAAGGCAAATTGCTGGAACTTTCCGTACCGTAATAAAATATTCAAGAAATTTTAAACGTTTTCATATATATTACAAATACTGTAACTTTCATTGTTTTTTCGCTATCTTATTGTTATACTGAGCAAATCAAATGTAAATCATAAATCAATTTATCTCCAGAATCAATAGCAATTGTTATATAAACTTCAACTACTGTCTTTGTAATGGTAGCAGATATTAAAGCATTGGTGGTAAAAATTCATGTTTACAAGATACATTTATGATAAAAAATGAAAACTGTGAAAATAATATTTTCACATTTAATATTTACTTTCATTTGTGTGATTTGTATGTATTGAATAACTAAATTATTATATTTAGCAAAAATTTTGGCAGAAGTTTTTTTCTGCCGTTTTTCCCTAAAATTACGCGCAACCTGAAACGACGCTTTGTTTTAGGTTAACGTGCAAGCGCGCGCGAAATCTTGGGAAAATATCATGATGAGATATTTTTGAATTAAACATTTAAAATTTAACTAGTGGTGAATTTGCTGAAACTTTCCGTCCCGTAATGGAATATTTGAGGATCATTATAAATACTGAAACTTTTATTATTTTTGGTATCTTGTTATATCCGAATTAACACTTTGAGCAAATCAAATGTAAATCATAAATCAATTCACCTCTTAACAACAATAATAGTTGCAAATTTGCACAAAACTGAAAAAGTGATCCCGTATAGTCACAGTCTAAACGCATTTGCAAATAATTCTGTGCGACATTTTCATTTATACTGTGCTTAGCTTGGAGGCATTTTGGATTGAAAATTCAAAAAATTGCCCAGGCTGTGCACGGTCTAAATGTTTACCCAAGTGCGTTTAGACTGTTTAGGTACTGGAACACTTGTCCAATTTTGTGAAAATTATTGAAAAATGTGAAAATGCCGCCAAGCTAAGCACAGTATAAGTGAAAATGTCGCACAGAATTATTTGCAAATGCGTTTAGACTGTGACTACACGGGAGCACTTGTTCAATTTTGTGTAAATTAGGCAACTATTTTTTTTTTGAAAATGAATTCGAAATGAAATGACGATTGTTAATGTTCTGAAAATAAATTGTTTTATTTATGATTTACATTTGTTTTGCTCAGATATAACAATATAGCAAGCAAAAATAATGAAAGTATTTGTAATAATATATTTGAAAACGTTTAAAATTTCTCGAATATTTCATTACGGTACGGGAAGTTCCAGCAATTTGCCTTAAGGCACGACGCCATGCACCACTAGTTTTAGATCATTCAAATCGCACGCTTAGTTCACTCAAAAACTGCCATTTTTTGCACATTTAGCTCTGTATCTTCGAAATGGAGGGACCTGCCTTTGCTAAAAACTAATCACCTCTTCTCCCAATCATTACAAATTGAATGTTTTTTAGATCATTCAAATCGGATACCCGTTCTCTCAAAAACTCGATTTGTATTTTCTGCACTCTTTGCTCCGTATCTCCGTAACGGAAGGACCTGCCTTTGCCAAAAACTAATCAGCACGACTCCCTATCAATAGGAATCGAATGATAAATGAATCATTCAATCGGCTGATCCATAAAACGTGGACGAAAAATTGTATCCATACATACACACACATCCATTTAGTTTCTGAGGTATGCCAAAGTGTTCAGAAACCTTAAAAACGTCGAGAAATGCAAAAATTTTCATTTTCGATTTTTGGCCCATTACTATAACTACCATACGGGAAGTTAATAAATATAAAAATGACAGAGATTGAAAACTCTGAAGGTACAAATTTTCTTCTGGTCTTAAACAAATATTTTTTTCAAACTTTGTCCCTTACCTTGGCAGCTTGTCCCATACCAGTGTCACCACAATGGGTGATTTTAGAACCCATTCCTTCAAGTACAGGCCTGGCCCTTTCCAAATCTTTAGAATCACCACCGACCATAAAACAAAGGGTACCTGCTGCTGCACCGGGAACACCTGAAAAGACCAAAATTCACCAAAATATTCTACCAAAATGTATAAAAAAAATCTATTACCCCCTGATACTGGCGTATCACAAAATTGAGAATTATGTTGGTTCACCAATTGTTTGACCTCTTTGGCAACTGCTGGATCGATTGTGCTGGAATCTAAGAACAATGTATCTTTTTTGGCAGATGCCACCATTCCTTTGTAACAGTCTAATACTATGGCGTTGTTTGGCAACATTGTGACCACAAAGTCGGATTTTTTGGCAACTTCGGCAGCCGAGGAACATTTTTCTGCGCCCAATTTACCTACTGCGTCTACTGCTGCTGGTGAGACGTCGAATACTTGCAATTTGTGACCCTAAGGGATAAAAAAATTGGGTGAAAATTGAGGGCCAAAAGGTTGCCAAATTGGTGCCCTTTGGGTGTTGCCTAAGGTACAACTTTAGTGATGCTTGTGTATTTGTTTATTAAACTTGTTGTAACTTTTAAACGGTTTGTCTAAAGTGGATGAAATATTTTGCAAATTTGTTCAAAATTAAATTATCTATAATATTGTCTAATACTGTGAAGCCATACAGCAACTCGGTATACTTCAAAATCGTACTTGAAACCAGGAAAATAATATTATGGTATATTGTATTTAGTTCGTACGTGCATATATTTGGTACATGTAAGTTCTAAACCGTTGATTCAAAGTGTTTGAAATATTTTGCAAATATGTACAAAATTAAATTATCTATATTGCTGTCTAATATTATATTACTCTACAACATCTCGGTATACTTTAAAAATGCAATTAAAAAATAGACTATTAATTTTTGTATGTAAGTATAATTGAGCAACTTATTGAGCAACCGGTATATTTAGTAACGATTTTATTACATATCGTGTAACTTTTAAACCGCTTGTTCAATTTAAACAAAATATTTGGCAAATTTGTTCAAAATTAAATAATCTACAAATCTTGCAAATGATATAGTGACCTACAGCAACTCGGTATACTCTAAAAATGCCTTCAATAACATGCTACTAGGTTTTGCGTTTAAGTATAGTTTTGAAACGTACTTATATAATTATGATTCGAGTACGTACTTACTTCATTATATCTCGTGTAACTTCTAAACCGTTTGTTTAATTTAAATGAAATATTTTGCAAATTTTTTCAAAATTAAACAATCTATAGTATTGCCTAATACTGTTATTCAATACATCAACTCGGTATACTTTAAAAATCCATCTGTATTCTCCATAACTAGTCATTATCACACGCAGTTCTAATCTTTGTACAGGACATGCAGTAATTTTGATAAATTTTCTAGGGCATACTTTTTATCTCATGACATTGAAAATTTTTAATGTTATAGCTTGATGTGCCTACTTTAGTAAAAAATACTAAAATTAATTGATTTTTGAAGTAAAATCGTGAGTTTTTATTTAAATTCTAAATTAAGTCACCAGGAAGTAGAATTTTCTGAACCGCACATAGAATGTTTAATAATTTTTGTAGGGCATACTTTTTATCTCATGACATTGAAAATTTTTAATGTTTTAGCTTGATGTGCCTACTTAAGTAACAAATAGTAAAAATGATTGATTTTTTAAGTAAAATCGTGAGGTTTTATTTAAATTCTAAATTAAGTCGTCACCAAAGTAAGGATTTCTGAACCGCATATAGAATGTTTAATAATTTTTGTAGAAAGTATTTTTTGTCCTACAAAATTGTAACTACTTTATATTATACCAAGATGTATCTACTTTAGCAAAAAATACTAAAATTAGTACCTTTCTTAAGCAAATTTATGAGATTTAAATAATAATAATAAAGCCATAATTGCTATCACAATTGTAAACCATGGCTGCCTTTTAATAAATTTTCTAGTACTGGATAAATTTATTATGCGAACAAAATATACCTAAATGTATATATTATACGAAAAAAATACTTAAATACTATTCGATAATAATTAGCTACAAGGACGAACGAAACTTAATGATTTCGTGACATTCAAATGTTTTTTTAAGAAATAAACATAATTTTGCTTCAAGTTCACATATATGCACAAAGAATTATCGCAAAAGCGTATTATATATATATATATATATATATGTGAAGATTACAATTATTGCAAATAAACGTTCCATTAATAATTTCCTATAACATTAAACAAGATTCTGATAAGAATCGACCTGGATTATCACGAATTACATAAATTTCACGATTTTGCTTTTTGTGATAGTTGTGAAATATTTCACATGGATACAGAAAATTATTTATTAAAGAAATAGATTAAAGAGATTTTTTTTTATATTCTTTTACTAATAATAAATTTATAGAATAATAACTATCTACAATATTTTATGTAATATATGTTATTTAAATTCTTATTAATGATTACTAGAAGTCACAAAGACTTTATTCCACCCTTTGTACTTGAATTATTATTGAGAAAATATGATTTTTTTCAATTTGTTTAAAACAAGTCCGAATTCGGAATCATTAACGTTTTTAAGTCTTTTATCTTTCAAATAATAAATAAAAAAATACATTTTTCTGAGAAACAAATTCAGAAAGAAACTAGACATATGTACATCGTATTATCAGATATTCTATAAAGATTTAATGAATATTGTAATTAAAAAAAATTTATAAAGATTATAATGATAAGCACAAATTTTGTATACATTTATATGGGTTCCGTACCAATGTTCAGCTATGCGGCGCGATTGCTTAAAATAATGTTCAAGATTTTCAAAAAAAATCGAAACAGAAAAAAATAAAATTATAATCATAATATTTTTTTGTTTTTTCAAAAATTCAATTTTGTTCAAAATATCTCAAAAATTTAAAGTTTCTGAGAGTTCTGCAATGTGTTTTATAATAATTTAGTTTTCAGTATGAAAAGTTCCAGCAATTTGCCTTAAGGCACTAGTTCAATATATACTTTATTCCTTACAATTCGACCCTGTGTATTTAACTAAAATATTAACAAATATCCCATTTTTTAATTAGTTTAAAACAATTTCTATATCGAAATCATTGACGTTGAAATGATATCTGGTGTTAACTGGTATCGGTGTCGGTCAGGGTCACCAATTTGGCCACCAATGAAGTCACGGGTCACATGGGGCCACTTATTACGAACGAGGCGATTATTGACAGATTAAACATTATATAAATCTATACAAATATATATACATATATATGTATATATAAGTAATTGGCAGATAAGAAAAAATCAAATTGGTACATGTTTTACTATTTAAAAAAATATTTCTGGTACATTTGTGACCTGAGTATGACATTTCTGAATGCATCTTCAAACATTAAACTCCAAAAAATGTCTCAACAAAATCATAAGTTGTTTAAAGTACGTGCGAAAATGCTATATAATAAGGTTTGTATTTTTGATTTAAAAAAGTTTCATCTTCGTTGATAACTTCATGCATTTTATTATTTTTTTCTTAAAAAAAATTACAAAAAAACTCTTCAATTAAGTTATAGTAATGGGCCGAAATTCGAAAATAAATTTTTTTGCATATCTTTACGTTTCAAAGGTTTCTGAACATTTTGGCATATTTTGGTGAATAAATAAAAATAAATAAATAAAAAAAAAATTTCGTCGACGTTTTCGGGCGCACGGATAAACCGATTTGATTTGATTCCTATTGGTAGAGAGATGTGCTGATTAGTTTTTGGCAAAGGCAGGTCCAACCGTTACAGAGATACGGAGCAAAAAGTGCAGAAAATAGAAATCGAGATTTTGAGAGAACGGAGCGTCCAATTTTAATAATTCTAAAACATTTTACTTGTGTTGGCAAAACAATTGTTTTTGGAAAATATTTGTTTTCTTTTCATTTTTGTTGTATACCGAAAATAATTCAGGTTTTAATTTTAATTTAAGTTCTAAAACTCACTTATATACTTTAAATAAATAATTTTAACTTTGTAATTCAATTTTTATAATTCTCATACACATTAGAAAATTTTACAGTAAAATAATCTATTTTTCGTTACGGTACGGGAAGTTCCAGCAATTTGCGTTAAGGCACGTTGCCATACACCACTAGTTTTAGTATTTGAATTTATATCACATATATTTAGTAATGTAAACCCATAAAAAAAATTTAAGTTACTAGCCTAACTCATGCAAATTTAAAACAACAATAAATAGTTAACGATACTTAAAAAATAAAAATTAGTATATCCTGAGTTTTGCAAAAAACTCATTAATTTTAGTACTTGTAATTATAGTACATATATTATGTAATGTCATACTAAATTTTTAAGTTTCTAAGATAACTCATGTATTTATAAAATTTCAAAAAAAATTAACACGGTACGTGAAGAAACGGCCTTATAAACGAATATTAAATATATATATATATATATATATATATATTTGTAGTGAATTAATTTCAATAAAGTGTCTTCAATAAAACTCTGTTTACTGACGATCGCATTTCACAAACATCATTTATACTCATCTTTAATTTAAATAAAACCTTAAATAATAAGATATTAAATAACTCTGTTTTACGGTATGTGAAATATTTGTTAATAATAATAATTAAATAATTAACTGAGCTTTGTTTAATTCTACAAAATATTTAGGCTAGATAAAATATATAACGTGAGTTTACACTTCGACATTGATAATGTAATCGTACAATAATTTTAATTCATTAGCAAACAATGGAATTTATATATTTATAAAACAGTTATGCAAAAATATAACATAGAATTGTTATTTATAAATGGAATGAATTTTCATTGGTACCTGATTTACAAAATATTAATCAGGTACAAATATATTGGACTCTTATTGGATATTGGATTCTTATTATTTTGTTGACGATTCAATTTTTTTTTAGATCAAAAAGTAATATAATCTTATATCGTTAAAAGTTAAAAATTTTAAGTATAAAAAAATATAATCACATTTCCTTCGTTTTTGCTAAGATCTTTCGAAGAAAATAAATATAATAGTAATTTACAAATAAAATTGCTTTAAAATTACTGAAAATTTAAAACTTATAATTTTGATTGAAAAAAGCCCTAATTTAATAAAATTAAAAGAAAATATTATCGAAACTTCTAATTTAATATTATATCATCTCAACGTGTTAATATAAATAAAATGGAGCTTTTATTAAACATTTTATTTATTTTATTAAATAGCATTTTTTAATTATTTTTATCAATTTTTTTTCGAAAATGATACATTTTGTATAGTAGACCAATAATTTTAAGCAACTATCAAAAAACAGATAAATATTTTAAAAATCCAGAAAATACATGGACAGTCCGTTATAAATATTCATATAAACATAACTGTGCAAAAATATATATAAAAAATATTTTAAATAAATGCTGAAAATATCAAATTGCAAGAGTATCACCTAATCTGAGAAAATTTAGTAAAATGATAAAAATTTAATGAAATCTTTTAAGATCGACTTGGACATATGGATATCAATTAATAACCTGTTTGTGGTCTAAATAATAAAATAAAAGGATCAAATTGTCAACAAAATTTCAAAGGAGTCTAATAAAAGAATCTTTGATATATAAATGTAACAAAATTCATCAAAATACTAAAAATTTTATTAGATTTATTAAAATTGACTCAGGTATTTGGTCATCGATGTATAACCCGTTTGTGGCACCAAAGGATCAAATTTTCAACAAAATTCCAATAGGAATCCAACAAGATTAAATTGAATAGGTTTGTATATCAGTCTATTTTTTTCGACTTTTTCTAACAAGATTAAATTAAATAAGTTTGTATACCAGTCTATTTTTTTCTAGTTTTGTTTTAATATTTTTTACCTTTTTCAATAAATTAGCAGCCATACTATTGCCCATATTGCCCAACCCGATAAATCCAACATTTGCCGAGAAATACCTTTCGCTCATTTGTCCTGCGTTCATCAATTTGAACAGGACAACCCTTGTTTTCATCAAAGAACTTGCCATTTTTATAATAATTAATTACAACAATTATAAATAAACTAAAAATAATAAAACTGATTTATTATTATCACTAACAAACGTCGTACGTCTATGAAAGACACGTTTGAACTAAAACTGGTTTCTTCGTAGTAGTAAAAGTAGTGGGTCACAAAATTGTACGGCGCGATCTTGAATTTGGTTCCTGAATTTCTGATTGGTGATGGTGAGATTTTTTGGCCAATAGGAAGTTTAGGAACCGAGTTCTGAATTTGTGCGGTCGTGTACTGATTCATGTTTATTCAAAAGAGGAAACGCAGTTGTTAAATTTGTATTTTATTTTTAATTAATCACACGTGTTTGATAAATTGTTAAACTTTGGTGTGAGAACTCTAGTTTAGGAGAAAACAGGCTAAATCGAGTAACCAAGTTTGTGCAACTTTGCCTTGCCTTTTTAGGCCTTAAGTTAAGTTAGACACCACCTTTGATTTACCACTTTTCTCAAATTTTTCAAACTTTACTTTTTACTTCTCGAACTTCAGTTAATTTCTTCTTCGTCTTCATATTTTCAGCATTCACTTTTTTCTCTCATACATACACAAACACATCCTTAAACCTTTCAAATCGGTTGATCCGTGCGCCCGAAAACGTGGACGAAAAACTCTATCCATAATACATACACACATCCCTTTTTTCGAAGTATGCCAAAATGTTCAGAAACCTTCAAAACGTCGAGCAATGCAAAAATTTTCATTTTCGATTTTCGGCCCATTACTATAACTACCCTTCAAATAAAGGGTTATCCATCCTTAAAAAGATTTTTTTTCTATTTTTGGACCATTTTAAATTCCCGTAGGGTAGTTATAGTAATGGGCCAAAAATCGAAAATGAAAATTTTTGCATTTCTCGACGTTTTGAAGGTTTCTGAACATTTTGGCATACCTCAGAAAAAATTTATGTCTGTGTGTATGTATGTATGGATACAATTTTTCGTCCACGTTTTTGGGCGCACGGATCAACCGATTTGAATGGTTTAAAAAACATTCAATTCCTATTAAGGGGGAGATGTGCTGATTAGTTTTTGGCGAAGGCAGGTCCGGCCGTTACGGAGAACACGAAGCAAGAATGCAGAAAATACATATCGAGTTTTTGAGAAAACGGAGTATCGGATTTGAATGATCTAAAAAACATTCAATTTGTAATGATGGGAGAAGAGGTGATTAGTTTTTGGCAAAGGTAGATCCAGCCATTTCGAAGATACCGAGCTAAATGTGCAAAAAATGGCAGTTTTTGAGAGAATTAAGGATATGATTTAAATGATTCAAAAAACTTTCTGCTTGTTTTGACAAAATAATTGATTTTGGAAAAAAATATTTTTGTTTAAATTCTTTTATTCAAAAAAATTTTATTTGTATATCGAAAATAATTCAGATTTTATTTTTAATTCTAACTAAAGTTCTAATATACTTTAAACAAATAATTTCAACTTTGCGATTCAGTTTATATAATTCTTATAAATATTAGACAATGTTACAATATTTATGAAAATCTATATGAAAACATTTAATATTCTTCCATTTCGTTACGGTACGAGAAGTTCCAGCAATTTGCCTTAAGGCACGATGCCATATACCCCATTAATTCGTTTTTTTTTTTTTTAATTTTTTGTATATCGAAAATATTGCAGTTTTAATTTTAATTCTGGCTAAAATTCTAGAACTTACGTATATACTTTAAATAAATAATTTTAACTCACGTTATTCAGTTTATATAACTCTTATAAATATTAGACAATGTTACAAAATGTATAATAATATATTTCAAAACATTTAATATTCCTCGAACATTTCATTACACTACGGGAAGTTCCAGCAATTTGCCTCGCGGCACAATGCCATACACAACTAGTTTGTATCTCATTATAAAGCCCTAAATTTTTACCCCGGAATCATTTTTATTTCCACATGCAGTCAATGTATGTTTTTCACTGAATTGCGATTAAGATTCCCTCAAACTTATGCAAAAACTTAAATTTTATTTTATATTATTAAAAATCAATTTATTTTTAATTGAGAGTAGTATGATTCCTATCATTTGTAATTAAATAATTCTGTACCTAAAAATGATTTAATAAAAAGCATGATAAATCCAAATGTTCAAATATCCAAATAAAACAATGGCTATCATTATGCCCTCTGAACAATTATATGCAGCATGCTTTGCAATGGGTAAACTTTTCAAGTAATTTGTGTTAGCTGTCATGCACATACTTTCTTTTCTAAAATTATAATTAATTAAATTTTTTTCTAAAAATATTTAATGAAATAAGTTTTATATTCCTTGGCCGACGCATGTGCGTAAACCTGACCGACGGCCTTGCCATGCGACTGCCAACAAACATATATATTTTGCTTAAGCTACTTTCACACAAAACTAGAATATTTTTTAAAAAAAAATCACAAACTATTAGTACTAAAATTTAAATGAAAATTACATGAAATATTGTAACAAAACTTAACAACCCTCAGTCGAAAAATAATGCAAAAACACAGTGTAATATAGAATTTGTAACATTATATTTTGATATTGATATGATGAAAATTACATAAATTAGATAAAATAAATATAATAATTTTAATTTATGATATAAATGATAATGAAAACTTGATCAGAATTTATCAGACTATATGATAAATTTTGAAAAAAAATATTTTATATTAATTCTATATATTATTTATATAGTTTTCAAGACTGTTTTTATTATATTAGGTTGTCAAATATCTCCCTTCCGCTTTTTTGCTCTTGGTTTATAATACAAAAAGGCGGAAGGGAGATATTTGACAACCTAATAAAATGCTATTAAAACACACGTATGTATTAGAAAAAAATTATAATATTTTTTACTAGCAATTTATATAGTCATTATTTGATTAATTAATAAAATATTATAATTTATTTTAATATTTAAATATATATATTTGAATGAGTAATTTCTTTGTCTACTTATTTGTATGTATTTATATAATTTTATTCTTGTTGTGTTTTTGATTAAAATATAATATTTATTATTTAGATATCCATTAATGAGCAATTTCTTTATTTATTTATATGTATTATAATTATATATAATTTTATTCTTGTTTGATAAAATATAATATTATAAATTCTTTACATATCTATTAATGAGAAATTTCTTTATTCATAATGTTATTCTTGTTTGATTAAATATATAAATTGAAAATATCATAAAATTATTTTGATATTTATATCCAGTAATAAAACATATATATTAATTCTCTTAATTTTATAAAATATATATTTTTTTTATCTTTTTTTTCTAATAAAGTACAATAATTCAATATGCAATTTTAATTTTTAAATAATTATTTAAGTTTATTTAGCATTGTTGTAATAAAATATATAATTTAAAAAACAATATCCGTATTTTATTTCTTAAAAAATTACAACCAATTGTCGAAGTGCAACAATTACAATATGCAAATTTATTATTATTAAAAAATATTTAAGTTTATTAAGTATTTGTAAATAAATATATAATTTAATAACAATGTCCGTATTCTATTTATTTCTTAAAAATTACAACCAATTGTCGAAGTACAACAATTACAATATGCAAATTTATTATTATTAAAAAAATATTAAGTTTATTAAGTATTTGTAAAATAAATATATAATTTAATAAACAATGTCCGTATTCTATTTATTTCTTAAAAATTACAACCAATTGTCGAAGTACAACAATTACCATATGCAAATTTATTATTAATTAATATTATTTAAGTTTATTAAGTATTTGTAAAATAAAATATATAATTTAAAAAATAATGTCCGTATTCTATTTATTTCTTAAAAAATTACAACCAATTGTCGAAGTACAACAATTACAATATGCAAATTTATTATTATTAAAAAAATATTTAAGTTTATTAAGTATTTGTAAAATAAAATATATAATTTAATAAACAATGTCCGTATTCTATTTATTTCTTAAAAAATTACAACCAATTGTCGAAGTACAACAATTACAATATGCAAATTTATTATTATTAAAAAAATATTTAAGTTTATTAAGTATTTGTAAAATAAAATATATAATTTAATAAACAATGTCCGTATTCTATTTATTTCTTAAAAAATTACAACCAATTGTCGAAGTACAACAATTACAATATGCAAATTTATTATTATTAAAAAAATATTTAAGTTTATTAAGTATTTGTAAAATAAAATATATAATTTAATAAACAATGTCCGTATTCTATTTATTTCTTAAAAAATTACAACCAATTGTCGAAGTACAACAATTACAATATGCAAATTTATTATTATTAAATAATTATTTAAGTTTATTAAGTATTTGTAAAATAAAATATATAATTTAAAAAATAATGTCCGTATTTTATTTATATTGAGTACATATTTATTTTTATAACAAATTGTTTAAAATTTAATAAAATCATTTCAGTGCCCATTTTAAAAGTTTTATTAAATTATTATATTTATTTTTATACTCAATTGTTTAAAATAAAATATAATCACTTCACAAGCCATTATTTCATTCCAATGAAACCATTACTTAAATATTTTTAATTTTTTATAATATTCAATATTCTTTAAATGATTGGATATCAAATTTGATTTTTCGAATGATATTTTTTCTGTGTTTTGCTATAAATAAAAATCGAATCCAAGTTCATTTATAATTGTAAGAATTATTTATGTAAATAAATGTGGACTATCGTCGCCTTAGTGATGTTATTTTTAGAGATAGATCTCAAAAGATAAATTTAGTTGTATATATATATATATATATATATATATATATTCGAGAAATAGTTGAAAATTCATTCAGATTCAATTAAAATACGATTGAGATTAATTGAATCTAAAAGTTTTGATATACAGAAAATAAATTCAAATAAAATATTTTCTTCAAAAGTATTTTTCAAATTCTCAAAAAAACATAATTTGTTTATTTTTTTACAATTTTTAGTATACATCATTAAAATTAATTTAACTTCATAAATAACAAAATTATTAAAATAATTAAATAATTTTAATAATTAACCTTGAGAATGTGTAAAAAAATAAAAAAAATAATGCATATAGAAAAATAATGTATTTTTTATACGGTAAGACTTTTGAAAATACATTTAATATTATTTATTTATTTATTATAATTTTGTATCAATACAATATTAATTATTAAATTAATAATTAATTTTGTATTGATACAAAATTTTAGTTTTTCTGTAAGATAATTTACCAAAGAATAATATGTTCCTCTTGGTTGTTTAAAAAATATATTTATTTATAAAATTTGGTTGTTAATCGACAATAAGAAATGCACAAAAAAACTCTATACAGCATACGTTTATAATATTTATACAAATGTAAACAACAAATTCATATCACAGACTTAAGTAGAATTTCATTTAACAATATTATTATAAAACAGCTATATATAAAATTATGTCACATATATAAAAATATTAAAACTCGATTAATATTATATAAATTTATTGCATGATTTATTCGGATTTGTTAAAACTAAGAATATAATTTTTATATTCGAGTCTTAACTTGTTATGCGATATGATTGTCAATATTTGTTTCTTAGTCATGGTACATGCCCTCGACCAAAAAGTCCATCCTCCTATAATGCCTCTTTTCCCAGTAGTCCCTAGCTTTCCGTACAAGAAACACGGTGAAGATTACAAATAAAGGTACAGCAAATATTGTCACAACTACAGGTACAATATAATCAGGATGTCCACGTGATTGAATTTGTATACCCAGATTTAAACCGGACATTGTACTCTTTTGACTTTCGTAATAACTCTGGTGATCAGCAGTGTTGTTTTGCGGATTGCTGGAAGCGTTTGGTTTGTTTTGGTACAAAATCATATTATCGGCCTCCTCGTCCACACTGTAAGTTATTAAAGGCTTTCTTGGCTTTGGAGTCGTTGTAGTTGTTGTAGTAGTTGTAGTAGTTGTTGTGGTTGTAGTCGTAGTTGTAGTTGTAGTTGTGGATGAAGGCTTTGTTGTTGATGTAGTGATATTTTTAACAGAAGTGTCTATCCTCACATTGTCGCTTACATCAGTGCTATTTACTGGTAATTCAGCTCCCTTTCGTGGTACTATTTTAGACTTACTTGTAGCATTATGTTTTGAATTTTCAGCAATATTTGTGGAAGCTATAGCTATGTTGCCCCCTTCACCAGGAAACGTTGGCATTGGAGGTGCTAAAGTTGAGGTAGTACTTATTTGTGTATCATTTAACACAGGCTCGGCTTTTACACAAAAAATGTAAGGAACTAAAGATATAAACAACAAAGACCTCAAAATCATATTGGTAAATTTTAAATGAAACGTAGTAAAATAAATAAAAATAATGTAAACAATATGTGCAAATTTCACTTTGACATTTTACAATACGCAATGAGTCTGAAGTTGGGTGATTGTCGATTGGGCAAAATAATTTAAATAAACGTTATTTATTAATATTTGACGTGATTGTAGGATTTAAAATCAAATTTAGTCGTGAGTTCAAGAAAATATATGAAAACATGTTTTACTTGCATTTTAAACTTTTGTGTTCAAAACAATCATCAACTGTCAAATTTGAACTGTCAACTCTGAGCTGTCAAATACGCAAAAATAATTTAGCATGATTTTTAATATTTAGCACAAACCGTACACTTTATCAATAAAACTAATCATAAATAAAGAAAATACATTAAAACATACTTTCCTTGGACTTTAAACTGCTGTATTCAACAATTACACAAAATTGACAACTTCCAACTGTCAACTTTGAGCTGTCAAAAATTACCTATGCACAAAATAATTTATAAATTTAAAACATAATATTTTCAATATTTAACCCAAATCGTACACTTTATGAATAATATCAAATTTTAAGTTCAAAAAATACACAAAAACATATATTTATTGCATTTTAAACTTTTGCATTTAAATCTCACTCATCAACTGTCAAACTTCAACTGTCAACTTCTAGATGTCATTAAATAAATTTATAAAATACTCATTATTCATGATATTTAACGCAAAATAATATACTTATAAATAAAAGAATTGCTCTAAAATAAGGAAAATATACAAAAACATATTTTAGGTTCATTTAAAACTGTTATTTCTTACCTTTCAACTTTCAGCTGTCAATCATCAACTGTCAAATATGAAAAGATTGTATTTGCAAAAACACTATTTTGAGTATTTATTACAAATTGAGCGCTTTATGAATGAAATAATTGCATGCAACTTTAATAAAATTCATGAAAACCTATCTTTTTGCACTTATAACTAAATCAAGACATATTCGTCAACTGTCAACTGTCCACTCAAATATTAACGGTCAAATACTTAAAATATTATTAAACACTAATTGTACACGTCACAAATGCAACAATTGTTGATGTTTTCATGAAAATTTGCATTTTATTTAAATTTAAAATGTATTCGTCAACTGTCAACCTTCAACTGTCATCTGACGTGCACGCCATCTTTATTTATTTATTAACTTTGAGGTTACTAAAACGCATTCAAAACATTTACTGGAAGGTTCCAGAAGCTTGTGCAAGTTCTATTAGTGTTCTCTAACTTCAGTAACACGATACTTACTGTAATTTAACACCACATACCAAAAGGCTTTACCTCAGCTTCCATATAAGTCTAAAGCAGTTCAGTCAATTACAATTTAGGACGAATCTCATACACTAAGAACATGGGTGCTATTGATATTACAACTATCAAGGATGGCGGAGTCCTAAAAGAGATAATTAAGGAAGGTGTTGGTACTGAAACTGCTACTCCAGGATGTAAGGCTATTGTGCATTATACGGGCACTTTGCTTGATGGTACAAAATTTGATTCGAGCAAGGACCGGGGGCAACCTTTTGAGTTTGATTTGGGAAAAGGTAATAAATGATAGTAGCTAGTTGAATAGAAGACTTTATTGATACAACTCATCTCATCATCTTTTTTATTTAGGCCAAGTTATCAAAGCTTGGGACTTAGGCGTAGCCACAATGAAGAAGGGAGAAATCTGTGTATTAACATGTCAACCGGATTATGCTTACGGTGCCAATGGCAGTCCTCCGACAATTCCACCAAATGCTACTTTGAAATTTGAGGTAAAAGTTAAATTTACTCTCATACTCAAAAAGTTCTATTTATAAACCTAATAAACTATTTTTAGGTCGAGATGATTGATTGGAAAGGTGAAGACTTATCCAGTGAAAAGGATGAAAGTATTGTACGATTAATTTTAACACCAGGAACTGGTTATGACACACCCAACGATGGTGCTTTAGTTGACGGTAATTAATATCATTAATATAATATATATATATATATATATATATATATATATATATATTTATTTATTTATTTATTTATACATGTATCTTTTTTTTCCAGTGAAACTGGTGGGTAAACACGAGGGTCGTACATTTTTGGAGAAACAATTGACCTTCAATTTGGGAGAAGGCTCTGACCAAGGAGTTGTTGCGGGTGTTGAAAAGGCTTTAGAAAAATTCAAAAAAGGTGAAACTTCCAAAATCATATTAAAAGCTAAACAAGCTTATGGTGTTAAAGGAGATGAATCTTTGAACATTCCCGGAGGTGCTGTTGTGGAATTCTTTGTCACGCTAAATAAATTTGAGAAGGTAATGATAATTGAAATATGTATGTATATATATATATATATTTATATATATATATATATATATATATATTATAATAATTCTTTCTTAAAACTACATATATGTGGCAATATGTGGATTTAAGACATTTTTTTACAGCTTTTTAAATAATTTGAAAATTTTACCCCGCACACTTTAATTTTTTTATTTTAGTGAAAACTAGATAGAATTTACTAAAAATTAGTATAAATTGTTATATATGCTTCAATATCAAAATTTTAAATAATTTGTAGTTGAAACGCAAACTTGAGTTTGGGAGCAAACTTGAGATGTGGATTTAGGACATTTTTTTACATTTCTTCAAATAATTTACAAATTTTAGTAAAAACTGGATAAAATTTACTAAAATTTAGTATAAATTGCTATATATACTTGGATATCAAAATTTTGAATAATTTGTAGTTGAAATGCAGAGTTTGAGCAGTATGCAGATTTAGGACATTTACATTTTTTTCAAATAATTTAAAAATTTTATTTCGGACCCATTAATTTTTTTATTTTAAATAAAACAAGATAAATTTAGTATAAATACTATATATTTATACTAAAATTTAGTATAAATTGTTTTATAAACTTGGATATCAACATTTTGAATAATTCTTTGTTGAAATAGAAATTTTCTATAATTAAATAAATAATGTGCATTTGGGACATTTTTACATTTCTTCAAATAATTTAAAAAAAATTGTTCTGGCCACTTTGATTAATTTTTTTTTAATAAAAACTAGATAAAATTTACTTAAATTTAGTAAAAAAAATTATACACACTTGCTTATTAAAAGTTTGAGTAATTTTTTGTTGAAATGTTAATTTTCTGGTAATATGTGGATTTGGGACATTTTTTCATATTTTTTCCAATAATTTAAAAAAAATTGTTCCGGACTCTTCAATTTTTTTATTTTAGTAACAAAAAAATTTATATACACTTTGATAATAAAATTATGAATAATTATTTATTGAAATATCAATATTCTAACAATTTAATTTGCAATATGTGGAGTTAGGACATTTATCTATATTTATTCAAATAACTTCAAAAATTTGTTCCGGACCCTTAAATTTTTTTTTGAATTTTAATAAAAACTAGATAAAATTTACTAAGATCAATGGAAAAAAATTATACACTTTGATATAAAAATTTTGAATAATTATTGGTTGAAGTGTGGACTTGTACAAATTTAATATACAATTTAATATAATTTAATTCAATAATATTATATATATATATATATATATATATATATAAACATAATTATGTATTTTTCCTTAGGTTAAAGAAAGTTGGTCAATGGACTCTGATGAAAAAATAGAACAGGCTAAAATGTGCAAAGATAAAGGAACCGAATACTTCAAAAACAACAAATTAGATCTTGCAATTAAAAAGTATAAAAAAGCAGTCGACTATATCAAGGATATATCAGGTATGAATTAAATGTTTAAATATTATTTTCATACTAAATATAACTGTTCTATTTGTTTTATTTCAGATACTGAGGGCGAAGTAGAAGAAAACAGAAAAACACTATTACTTTCAAGCCATTTAAATGCAGCCTTATGTTACAACAAACTAGAAGACTACTTTTCAGCACGAGAACAATGCGATTCAGCCCTAAAAATTGAACCTAACAATGAAAAGGCTCTCTTTAGACGAGGTCAAGCCAGACTTTCCATTGGTGAGCCCGAAAAAGCCTTAGAAGACTTCAATGCCGTACTGAAAGTACAACCGGATAACAAAGCTGCCAGCAACCAAATCGTTCAATGCCAAAAAATGATGAAGGAGCAACTCGCCAAGGAGAAAAAGATTTATGCAAACATGTTTGACAAATTTGCTAGACGCGACACCGAGGTAAAATCAGGTCAGATCTAATAGCTGTGATAAATGAAATAAATAATAAGGGATAGTAAACACCTAATTGTTTTTATTCATGTTTGCAATTTTCTTTGTAGAAAGAGGAGGAAGCGAAGCGTAAGCAGCCTGATGTTATGAAGACTTTAGGGGAATGGGGCGATGATGAAAGGGAACGAGCACCTACCAAATTTGAAAAAGAAAATCCAAATATACTAATGCTTAATCGGACTGGAGAATTTAAAAATATGTAGATTTATTCAATGTACATGGGTCTTACTTAATATATATTTGAAATAAACTTAAATTTCTTCTCAAAGCGCATTTATTTATTTATCACTTGGAAAATTTACATATTAAATTAAAAATTTATGAATTTCAAATGTTATTTTGAATTTAGCGCGTGATTTCTAGTAATGGTGGTCCTGTTACCAACTTCACTCCCATGCTTCAGCTGTCAAATTTGTTTTGATCTTTAAGAAAATGTACGTCAAATTTTCACGGTGTAAAATTATGCATAAAACAAATACTAAATATTCATAAAACAAAACAAATAAATTCTTTATCAAATCCTAAAACTTACAAACCAAAAATCTTCCATAAATGTGTACAAAATGAAAAAATCCAGACAAACCAATATGACCTTGTATATTGTATGTCATTGTTTTCAATTTTGTGGCAGCAGATTTGAGTGAAAGAATATGTTATTATAAAAATAGTAATAGAATTAAACTAAAAACATGTTCCAAGTGTATAAATACAAGAATTTTATGTTACAAGCTTGTAACAGACCTTTTTATAAAATCACTTATGTTGCTAAATAATTTATATGTGATTAGATTAATGTTATAATTTGGGTGTATATTTTAATATATATATTTATTAAGTTAAAATGGAAACTGCAGAAACTGCTCGTGAAATTTTAGATGTTGATCTTGTCTCAGCTTCACATTTACAGGTATAAAAATCTTACTCGTAGAATAAATTTTATTATAATAATATATATAGTACAATTATTGTACTAGTTCTCATTTTTATGTGCTATTTGAATATTTTAATAACTTTGGTCATAGCAAAATATTTGAATATAGATTAAATTAATATTGAAATATTTTGGTATCGATATAAATATGCCACAAAATGTGTAGAGCAAGTACGAATACTTGTACGAACTAGTAAAAGCATTTATTAATTTGACCTAGCATTAATATATATATATATATATATATATATATATATATATATATTATATATATATATATATATATATAATTATGAAATAGAAAGAATAAAAGTCTTAAAAGATATCCTCGAAGTATTTACTTTCTTATATGCTATTTATATTTATACAAATTTTTTACAAATTTATTCAAAAACTATTTTCAAAGTATTTTCAATTTAAATCATAATACATTTTCTCATACTAAAATATGTCAATAAATATTTATGATCACTACATTAATTCTTAATAAATTGTAGATAAAATTATAAAAAAAATGATTCATGACAAATACATCACTTATTTAATTGAATATTTCTGAAATATGTTAATACAATTTTATTTATTACATTCCACTGCTACTTGCCTAATAATTTATAACTAAATTAAATATAAATTACAAAAATACTTTATAACTCACTACTAATATTCTCCTTAATGAAATAAATTTAAAAATTTGTTCTGGGCCATTTAATTTTTTTTTTAGCAAAAACCAGATAAAATTCACTAAAATCTAGCGAAAAAAGTTATAAGCACTGGGATATTAAAATTTACTAAAATCTAGTGAAAAAATTTATATAAACTTTGATATAAAAATTTTGAATAATTCTTTGTTGAATTACTAATTTTCTGGTGCAACTTGCAAGGACATTTTTCTAGATTTGTTCGAATAATTTAAAAAAATTTTTTCGGACCCTTTAATTTTTTTATTTTAGAAAAAAAACTAGATAAAATTTGGATATTAAAATTTTGAATAATTTGTAGTTGAAATATTAATTTTCTTGTAAGATAATTTGCACATAGGACATTTCTTCAAATAATTTGAAAATTTGTTTTTCCCACTTTGATTTATTTATTTTGAGAAAAACTAGATAAAGTTTACTAAAATCTACTGAAAAATTTTATATACACTTGGATGTTAAAATTTTGAATAATTTGTAGTCGAAATATTAATTTTCTTGTAACATAATTTGCACATAGGACATTTTTTTTACATTTCTTCAAATAATTTGAAAATTTGTTTTTGTCCACTTTGATTTATTTATTTTAATAAAAACTAGATACAATTTAGTAAAATCTAGTGAAAAAAATTATATACAATTTGATATTAAAATTTTGAGTAATTTGTAGTTGAATTACTAATTTTCTGGAGCAACTTGCAAGATAAAGATGTGAATTCAGAACATTTTTCTAGATTTAATGTCAAATAACTTTAAAAATTTGTTCCGAACCCTTTAATTTTCTTATTTTAGTAAAAACTAGATAAAATTTACTAATATCCAGTGAAAAAAATTATATTCACTTGGATATTAAAATTTTGAATAATTTGTAGTTGAATTACTAATTTTCTGGTGCAATTTGCAAATTCAGGACATTTTTATAGATTTTGTCAAATAACTTTAAATAAAATATTTAAATTAATTTCAAACAGATTTAATATTAATATTTATATTATTTATATTATGTATTATATATATATATATATATATATATATATATATATATGAATAAATATTTTTAATCATCTGAATCATTTATACTTGCAGACTCTTCTGCCTGCGGATTTACTAAGCCAGCATATTGTTCACGGTAATATTCAAGACATCATAAATTCACAATCTCAAGACTACGATGGGCATACGAGACTAGATGGGTAAGTAAAAGAATTAAATAAATAAATATACCATAGTATAATATTTGTTTAATTCTTCTATTTCTAGCCAATATTTATCAGACCCATACGAGGCCCAAGATTTACTCTCAAACACCGAATTAACCGAAGAAGAAAGTAAATTGGCTGCTGCTTTTGTTGCTGTACAACTAGTACATCAACATAAACAACAATGTATACAAGAAGGAGTAATTGTTAATGCTAAGGTATTATTATAAACAAAATATTTCACTATCCAGCATTTCCTTTCTTCAAGAAATGTTTTGTAAACACAATTGTTCCATATGCTAGTCACAAATATTTGTTTTGTTTTCTAGAATGATGTTGTGACTTCATTATCTCATTTGACGAATTCTGGACATTCTTCTGTGATAGAAAATTTAAACAATGGCCATAGTTTGACGACTGATGAAATTCCAACTGATTATGTTCCGCAGGAATTGATGGAAAATGATTTGACTGATGCGGGTGTAAAGTTGTTTAATTCTATTACTAATGTAAGTAGATGGAAAAAGAATTATTTATTTATTTATTTATTTATTTATTTAACGCCCAAGACAATAATACAATATAATTACATTCTAAAGTGTACAAATTATAAACTAATGATAATATGAGAAAATTTGAGTATTAAGAATTCATATATAGATTTGTATATATACATAACACTTAATATATATATATATATATATATATATATATATATATAACTACAAATATAAGCCATTAAATAAAAACTAATAAAATTAAACATTAATAAAAACTAATAAAATGAAACTAATTAAAATTAAATTAAGTATTAAGAATTCATATATAGATTTGTATATATACATAACACTTAATATATATATAAACTACAAATATAAAACATTAAATAAAAACTAATAAAATTAAACATTTAATAAAAACTGATAAAATTAAACATTTAATAAACTATAAATTACTACTTAAGACAGTCTTGAAGGATAAATTATACTTTTGATTTAATAAATTTTATGTTTCTAAACTTTGTGAATCGTTTGATACAGAATTTGGGAAAAATATGTTGAAATTCTGCACTAAAGTAAAAAATTAAAAATCATTTAATGTAATTTTTAGAAATAAGTGTGATTTTGCCTTAAGGCAAGTTGTATGGTCTTTCTAATATTTATAAACAAACAACTAAGATAATAATCAACCAAGAAAAAGTTAATATATTGATATTAACTTACAAATGATTTATATGTATCGAGTTGCTGTGCTCCTTATAATATTACATACTATTGCACATAAAACTATCATTAGTACAGTCGGTCCATGTAAATTTATATAATACATATAGAAATATACAAAAATATTAAATTAACCAACGACTTGTTCAAGTAATAAATTTCATTCTTGCTCGTCCACATTAATTTTTCAATTTCAAACTTAATTTTAAAGTATACCGAGTTGCTGTAGGATGTTATGTTGTTACACAATTTTATAAATAATTTAATTTTGTAAAACTTAGTTTAATATTTCTTATTAATTAGACATTATCATTTGACAAGTTACAAGATATATACTAAATAAATGCATAGACAGTTGCGCTCAACAAAATACCTGTTGCGGTATAAAAACCTACCAAATTTCTTTACTCTATTCAATTGATATTTTCAAGTATACCGAGTTGCTGTAGGTCATTATAATATTAGACAGTATTATAAATTATTTAATTTTAAACAAATTACTTAAATATTATATTGATTTTCGACGAGCCGTTTAATAGTTATAAGAAATGTTATAAATTAGTGTACTAATAGCGTACTGGGATTGATTTTTTTTGTTTTAAAGGCAAATTTAAAGTTTAGGAACGATTATACTAAATATATATATATATATATATATATATATATATATACTGGCAAACCCGACGAACTCCGTTTCGCCACCAGATGGTTTCGTGAGAAAGATGAAAAAATTTTTTGTTTGTTTTGTATTTGAAAAGAAAAAAATTGATTTTATTATACAATAGTAATGAATTTATTTCGATTACAAAAATAAAGTGTTTTTTAGTTGAACTTCTCTAAGTAAATGAAAGTGAATCCGCAAATTATCCGTTTCATTGAAGTGCTCTTTGGTAAACCACATTTTTTGTTTTTTGGTCTGACGTTAACACAAACAAAGCGGATGGTTTTCCAACTCGTGAACAGGCAACGTATAACTGCCCATGTGGAAAACAATGATTTTATAAATAATCTATTTGAAATGTATCCCGCAAACACTAAGCGATTGGCCTTGCGACTTGTTATTGCAAATGCAAGGCGAACTGGAAATTGCAATCGCTTGAAGTCAAACGGAAGACCAAAATCAAGTCGGAATCATTGGTATGTCTCCAAATCGCCAGCAATTTTTGATTGAGTGGTGAAATTCAGTGCGTGTACATCATTATTCTTTGCGGAAAGAATTGCTCGTTGACTTGACCAAGCATAATTCTGATAATTCTCACGAATGTCATTACTCGAATTTTTAATTACGGTGCGTGAAGTCCCAGCAATTTGCATTAAGGCACGATGCCATGCACCACTAATTTTCTTAGCTATAAACCTTGCAGAGCCCGAGACCTTTCCAACGAATGCACAATTGTCGAAATCGGTTCGTGCGTTCTGGAGTTATTCAGGAAGGAAGGAAAACCCGACTTATTTTTTATATATATAGAAGATAATATATATATAATGCTATTAATTTTTTGTCTATTTTTTATTCCAGGGTCGTCTCCCCCCTCTAAAAAAGTTTCCCCAAAACAAACGCAGCTACCCCCTAACAAGATTCAACATAATAAACAACCACGAATTGAACGATTCGCACATAATATCAAATATTATCTCCAATGGAACCCAAAACATCAACTTGCAGAACAACATACAATCCTTAAGACCAACATTCATCAACGACATCAACACCAACACCATAGACCTAGGAAATAAATTATTGTTGCATAACAATTCAGTCGATTTGACTTTACAAAATAATGGAATTGGTGCTGGTCTTCTGGATAGGAATATAAATGATAGTAATATTATTACATCGACTGCTAATAATATTGTGGGTAATGGTCATGTCCATATTGTCAATGGAAATAATGTGCTGAATGGGGGTGCTGTGAAATCTATGAAGACGAATGGTGGTTTGAGGATTTCGGGGAACACCATTATTACTAATATTAATGGCACGATTGTCAAGGAGGAACTAGATTTTGATGCCAAAAACATAAAGGTAATACTTAGTTTATATTACAATTTTATTCCTTCACCAATATTAACTTCCCGAAGGAGAAGTTTATGTTTTCATCAAAAAATCCGATTCGCTAATTTTATGTTTTCTTGACGTTTCAAGACATTCTGAATCGAATGAGACCAAATTTGGAAAAATATGTGTTTGTGTGTGTGTGCGTGTGCACCAACAGATTTTTTGCCGTAAATCGCCGTTTTCTCGACCGATTTCAAAAATTTAAAAGCCATTTGAAGTATCTCGATGAGGACTATTGTTTGTCAGTTTTGTGCGATGATCGTCCAAGCCGTTTCTTCGTAAATAGCAGAGAAGTGAAAAGTCTTTCGTCCACGTTTTAGCCCGTAGTTCTGAATCGATTTTGAAAATTCAAAAATCGTTCGAAAGATATTGGTTGGGAATCGTGCTGACTAGTTTTTGGTAGAGATCGGCCGGGCCGTTTTCTTGTAATAAAGTTTTTAAAAAAAAATTTCGACGATTTTTATGATTATTTTTTTGACGGTAGAAAATATTACGGCCCTACGACAACTGGTTCAGCTTTAAAAATTCGTCAAAGTTTGCAAAAATTAGTATAGTATTTTGGCATTTGTCAAAATTAGAACTTTCATCGACGTTTTCTCAAAAACGCCTGAGCCGATTTTAGAAATTTAAAAGCTATTTGATGTATTTCTGTGAGGACTGTCGTATGTCAGTTTTGTGTGACGATCTGCCAAACCGTTTCTTTGCAATTTGAAAAAAAGTGTTAAACTTTTCGTTCGCATTTAAGCTCATCCTACCGAACCGATTTTAAAAAATCAAAAACTGATCGAATGATATTAGTTGGGAATGGTACTGATTAGTTTTAGGTAAAAAACTACCGAGCCGTTTTCTTGTAATTAACTGTTGAAAAAAAAATTTAAGCCGATTTTCATGGAACTTTTTTTGGCGATATACATCATGGTCTTATAGAATTCACTGTAATATTACGGCCTTATGACAAGTAATTTAATTTTAAAAATTCATCGTAGTTTGATAAAATGAGTAGTTTTTTTGACGTTTATTAAAAATAAAATTAGATGATTTAGTTGGTATAACGATAGTGTACTTGGTCTTGAACATAGTAAACCATTAAAGTCCTACAGAAATTATAATTATTAATTAATTAAAATTATTGATTTTTGAAAATTTGCTTTTAGAAAATACTCCAAGTTAACGTGTTCGTTCGTTCGTTTGCAATGATGTGTAATAAATCCACTCGGAATACTTATAATCATTCATAAATTAATTTATTTTTTATTGATTAAGTCGATTATTTACACATATCGGGAAGTTCATGTAACTTGCCTCAAGGCTGAATACCAAACCAACTAGTTTAATTTTTATTCCTTTACCAATATTTTTTTTCTAGTGTGACGAAGAGGACGTCAACGTCCTAAACGATCACCTCACAGCTTTGGGGAATTCCCGATACGCAGTGTCGGACTCCGATTGCTCGGACGTTCCCACAAAACGTACTAGGACATCCCATAACAATCAGCAGAATTTTGGAGCACCTGCCAGTACTAATGCTGCAAGTTCCAGCAGAAGTCTTCCACACAAAAAACGGATATCTAAACGTCTGAAATCTAACATTAAGCCTAAAGCAAACTCTAATGCCAAATCACAAAATGTTACCTTCGGGAGTAATGGAACTAGCAATAATTCCAGTGAGGGTAGTACGAGGGCTGGGAGGAAACCTGCTGGTAATTCGAAGGTAATAAAGGACAGATTATATTTATTGATTAGTTCCAAAGAAGTATTGGTGGAAAATTTAATAATTATTTATTTTTTGTTTAGAATTCCAGCAATGCCTTTTCGTGCCAGTTGTGTGGTAGTAGATTCGAAATACAAATGGAATTTTACAAACACTTGAAACTGCATTACGAACCTCCTGAGGAAGAACAACAACAGGTAAACTAATTTATATATATATCTATATATATATATATATATATATATATATATATATATATGTATTAGGGTGGTCCTTAAAATGGTCATTTTCGAATTTCCTTGCTCCCAGGGGCACAAATGGTTCCAAATTGATAAAAAACAATTCTCCGAAAGTTTTAGTTCTTAATATTAACATTTAGATAGAGCGCAATTCAATCAAAGTTCGTATGGAAAAAGCATGGAAAAATTTTTGAAAATTAAAAAAAATGTTTTAGGTATAACTTAGCGACAAATGAATGAGTTTTATTTATTCATTTGTTTGCTAAATTACATCTGAAAAACATTTTTAAAATTTTTGAAAATTTTTTCATGCTATTTCCATACAAAACTTTGATTGAATTGCGCTCTATCTAAAAGTTAATATTAAGAGCTAAAACTTTCAGAGAATTGTTTTTAACTATTTGGAACTATTTGGAAATTCGAAAATGACCATTTTAAGGACCACCCTAATATATATATATATATATACTAGATGACCCGACAAACGTTGTCCTGTATCCACATCTACGTTTTTTCAATATCCTATGCTAATATTTACCGTTCAGTTAAAAATAATAAATATTGTTTTTCGAATTACTATTTACACAAATATATGAGTGATATTAAATGTAGAACTGCTTCAAATATAATTATGATTCTTTCTTCACTTTAATTATCTCTTTAACAAATATTAAAATATGTTCAATAAAATTGTATATAAAAAATTATACACTGCAATTTATAGATCAAATTTATTTCCAATAGCTCAATTTATTTTAATGCCAAGGTTTATCCAATATGTGGATAAATGAATGATTTTTTGTTTATTCACGACTAAAACATTGATTTTTCACATTTATCACACAAAAAATCATCATCTGCTTTTGTGATTTATAGCATAAGTTATACGTATTGAAAATTGAAGTCTTTTCAACGTTATAACAAATACAGAAAGAATTCATATATGAAATCCGCAGTAAATGTACAATATTACCTTGGACTTTTTCACTCAAAATAATTGCTCCAATAATATTGCTTGAATTTTTATAATCTCGTATCATATTTTAAATGGTTTTTGATAACTATAATATATAAATTACATTTTTCTTAGTAATAATTTAATATACTCAGCCCCTGCATACCATTTTTCTTGTAGCTTGCCCCTCTATTATTTTACCTGTTTTAACAATTTATTCTTAAAATTATTATCATTAATTAATATTTGGCCTTTGGAATATTTCACTTATTTTTTTAGGGCATTTTATGCGATTTATTCTATTGAGCAAATCATAGAAATCATTATGTGATTTAATCCTGTTCATATGTGTAGCATTCAATCTACAATATGTATATTATATTATTTTAATACTGGCACATCAGCTGCTTTTTGGCAATAATAATGTAGACATTTCATTTTTCTTATTCATAATTATCAGTTTATTATACATATTCTAATATTGTCTAGGCTCATAAGTAAATTGAAATTTTTGGCAGATGACAGTTTTCATTTGTGTTCAATGCAAATAATGACATGTCGTTTTTTGCAATTTTTTCCATTTATTTTTACAATATTGAACATACATTCCAGTACTTTATAATCACATACATCCTAAAAAAATTCCTTAACAAACTTCAGAAAGATTTATCAAAATAAGAATAATAGTTTAGGAGGAGCAAAAAGTGAGCGCTTGTAATTTAATATGAACTTTATATAATAGCAATAAAGCTCAAATTGATTATACGTTTTAGTTAGAAAACGTTTGTATGTGAAAAAGAAAAGGGTTGTTTTTAGGATTTTCCCGGCAAATATTCAATTTTTTCTCGCAGTAAGAACCATCCTTGTACTTTAACGAACATTTTAAAAAAACAATTGGCCAAATTGGTCATGGCTTTGGCTTTGTTGAGTGCGTTTACCAACACATTTTGCGCTTCATTTTTATATATAAGATTTGATCTCGTGCAACTTGTCTCAAGGCAAAATGCCACTTACAACTATTTCTTTTACATTTCAGAACCAAACCCATTACATACAACTAAACAACATAGTAAACAACGAACAACTGGATTCGCCCCTGCTCAGGGCACACCTTACCGAGCCTCATACAATTTTACCAAATTTGGACGACGATTCACTTTCTTCTGGTGTCCAAAATTCAAATGAAATCCAAACTCATAACGAGAACACCATTATGCAAAATCAACATAATATCAATTTGGACTCTTTGCCCAATTTGGTCATAAGCAATATGTCTGGATTGAGGTGTAAATTCTGTCCGTTGATATTTAAAAGGAGTTCGGCGTTGGAGGGACATATAAGGGATGCACATTTTAAGGTAAAGGGTAATAGATGATAGATAAAATTATATATATATATATATATATATATATATATATTTAATAATAATAAAATTGTTTCTGGGCATCCATCCAGTAATTAAAAAACAGGTTTAATGAAAAATGTTTTTATTTAAAGAACATACGTAATATTATATATATATATATATATAGGATAATATATAGTATAATTGACTCGTAATACAATTTCCAAACTAACATGTTCGTTTGGAATAAGCTTTTTTATAATAAAATATATCATTTATTTTAATTTTACAATTTTTTTAAATTTTTTCATAACTCGACGTTTCATCAATTTTTTATTTCACATTTATTTATTTTTTCGTGCAATTTTGTGTTCTTGTGTTGTTTTTCAAAATTTATTTGAATGCACTGAAGATGGGTCAAATCAAGACCCGAAACGTATGTTCTTTAAATAAAAACATTATTCTGTTTTTTAATTACTGGATGGATGCCCAAGAAACAATTTTATTATATTATTTCACCATCTGAAGAAAAACCTCTCGCTTTATATATATATATATATATATATATATATATATATATATATATAAGGAGAAATTTATGGTTTCATAAAAAAATCCGAATTGCTAATTTTATGTTTTCCGACGTTTCTAGCCATTCTGAATCGAATGAGATCAAATTTAAGGGAAAAGTATGTGTGTGTGTAGGAACAGATTTTTGACCTATCGTCGACGTTTTCTCAAAAATGGCTGAACCGATTTCAAAAATTTAAAAGTCATTTGATGTATCTCTATGAGGACTAGTGTTTACCAAGTAGTTTAATTTTAAAAATCTATCGAAGTTTGCAAAAAAATTAGTCAAAAATTGAATATCACAAAGTTAAAAGCCATTTTTTTGAATCAGGGGAAAAATAAGTCTACAAAACTTATCTATTTGTGCAAAAAATATTGCCATCAATTTAAATCATTAAGTGCGTTAATCATTAAAATTTGTTAAAATTTGATTTTTCTAATTAGTTTCAAAAATATTTTTATTGTATTTTCCTGGCACGAAGGTCCAATTTGACTTTCAGTAATTATACTGTCTAATATAAATAAACAACTATCGAACTATGTCTAGTAAAATTCCTCGTTAACTCCTAATTAATTTTAAAATCAAATTTGTCGTTTATCCGGTAAATAAATGCAACTTCTTTTTAATTTTGAAGAGAATTTACAAAATATTAGCTACTTTATTTAAGCAATGTAAAATACGAATTTTATGGACACATTTTTTGCGAAGATTGTATATAACCTTGATGTGGTATTCTGAAAAAAATATTCATCAGTAGAGGTCTAATAACTATTAATTTTTGGGCGCACGGATCAACCGATTTGAATGGTTCGAAAAATTCGATTCCTATTGATAAAGGGATGAGCTGATTAGTTTTTGGCAAAGGCAGGTCCAGTCGCTACGGAGATAAAGAGCAAAGAGTGCACAAAATACAAATCGAGTTTTTGAGAGAACGGAGTATCGGATATGAATGATCTAAAAACATTCAATTCGTAATGATGGGGAGAAGTGGTGATTAGTTTTTGGCAAAGGCAGGTTCAACCATTTCGGAGATAAAGAGCTAAATGTACAAAAAATAGCAGTTTTTGATAAAATTAAGCGTCCGATTTGAATGATCTAAAAAACTTCCTGCTTGTATTGACAAAACAATTGCTTTTGAGGATAAAAAATTATTACACCTTTTTTTATTTTCCATAAAATATTTTTGTAATTTTGGATTAAAAATTGAAAAAATTACCCAGGCTAAGCACAGTCTAAGCGCCACTCTGGTGCAAATGTTTACACAAGTGCGTTTAGACTCTTTATGTACTGGAGCACTTTTCCAATTTTGTGAAAACTATTGAAAAATGTGAAAATGCCGCCAAGCTAAGCACAGTGTAAGTGCAAGTGTCGCACAGAATTATTTGCAAATGCGTTTAGACTGTGACCGTACGGGAGCACTTTTTCAATTTTGTGTAAATTAGGGAACTATTTTTTTTTTAAATTGAATTCGAAATGAAATGACGATTGTTAATGTTCTGGATATAAATTGATTGATATGATTTACATTTGATTTGCTCAGATATAAGAAGATAGCAAAAATAATGAAAGTTACAGTATTTGTTGTAATAATATATTTGAAAACGTTTAAAATTTCTCGAATATTTCATTACGGTACGGAAAGTTCGAGCAATTTGCCTTAAGGCACGATGCCATACACCACTAGTTATTTTGTAAAATTGCTCTTTTTTAACTTAATCTACTCCTTTATGTAGTATTTCTAATTGTTTACACCTTTGCCAATATACCAATTTCATTAATTCATTAAGTCAATTTTTACACATTTTGGGAAGTTCATGCAACTTGTCTTAAGGCTAAATGTTTATATGATATGTTATTTCTTAAATCATGTACTTTAATATCTAGTACTGCAATTTTATAGCTTTCTTACAAAATTTATTAAAATTCAGCAATTTTATCCATCGAGCACCAGAACATCGTTTGTGTTATAAATCTTAAGATTTTCTGGCTAAGTCCACGAACTATTCAGAACGTATTATTGAAAATATTGTTATGTAATTTATATATGTTATTTTTAAAAATGTCTACTTTAACATCTAGTACTAAAATTTGTTAGGTTTCTCACAAAATTTTCGAAAATTTGATATTATATGCACCAAGTACCGAAAAGTCATATGTATTATAAATCCTAAAATATTATTTCTAAGTTTGACGAACTATTCAGGACGTACTATTTAAAATATTGTTATGAAATTTTGATACATTATTCCTTAAATAGTTTTATTTAATATCTAGTACTAGGGTTTGTTGCCACTTTCAACTAGTTTTATATTTATGTTATTTTTCAGGATGATATTCAAGATGAGTTTAGCGAACCTGAAGACTTGATGGAAGGCATCAGGAGTGTGGTTGAAGCCAACGGCCAATGTTTCGACGACGACGTTGAAGACATAAAGATCACCTTGATGGAAGCTGATAAAAATCAACGTGACTGGTATGTAAAAAATCCTATTTGCTAATTTTATGCTTTCAAGCCATTGAGAACAAATTTTCAAAAAGTATGTGCACCCAGTAAACGGAGCGTTTTAGGTCTGAATTTTTTTACTGTGCTCTGAATTGAATGAAATTTTGGAATTAGGTTCATCTTACCCTCAAGTTGAAAAGTGAAAACAATTCGGGTTAGGGAGAATGACACCTTTTCTCAATTGTAATTACATTATTTCAAAATAACGTCGGAAATCGATAGAAGAACTAATTATAAGAAAATAATGTCTTTTATAGTTTTTCAAAAAAACTAATACTTTTCAAGTTACTGGCCACTAAAGATTCATATATTTTTGGCATTTTTCTTCGTTTTTTTGCAAATATCTCCTAAAATATACATTTTAACGAGAATCATGTAATGAACAAAATAATGTCAATAAAAATCTTAATAAATCGGTATTGCATAAAGTGTTCTAGGAAAAATATTAAGCAAGATTTGAAAAAGCAAACTCGTTTTTCATTTCGTTCAAGATTTAATTGTTGTATTTAAAGCCATCAAGTGTCGTGGTTTTACATTTTATGCATTTCGGTGAAATTGGGTTTTATAGTGCTCAATATAAGCTTTAAAATGAGTACTGTGACAAGTTTTTTGCCTGTAAAATGAGTGAGCTATCATTCAAATAAGACGCATATACGAAGTTTTTTCTGTTAATTCATATGGTATAATGAGCACCATTTCCACCAGAATTAAACTAATTCACATTCCATCTGGAATTCACTTCATTATAGACATCTTGATAGATTCAAGCAGATACACTACTTTAGTACAAAATATTTTCAGAAAACTCACGATTTTATAAAAACTTTTTTTCCAATTTGCGCGGCCGCGCAGTCTTTAAACATTCATAACTCTGTCAATTTTTGTGCGAAAGAAAAATAATAAAAAACAATAATAAGACAGAAAGATCCCTTTGATTTTTATCTATATGCTTTTATACGTATCTTTTATTCTTTTCGAGATATAATGAAAATAATTACGATTTTTAAAAGAATTGGAAAAAAAAAAGTTTTTATAAAATTGTGAGTTTTTTGAAAATAGTTTGTACTAAAGTAGTGAATCTGCTAGAATCCATCAAGATGACTATAATGAAGTAAATTCTAGATGGAATGTGAATTACTTTAATTCTGGTGGAAATGGCGCTCATTAAACCATATGATTTAAAAGGAAAAAAACTTCGTATATGCGTCTTATTTGCATGATAGCTCACTTATTTTACAGACAAAAAACTTGTGACAGCACTCATTTTAAAGCTTATATTGAGCACTATAAAACCCAATTTCACCGAAATGCATAAAATGTAAAACCTCGATACTAGATGGCTTTAAATACAACAATTAAATCTTGAACGAAATAAAAAACGAGTTTGCTTTTTCAAATCTTGCTTAATATTTTTCCTAGAACACTGTATGTAATACCGATTTATTAAGATTTTTATTGTCATTATTTTGTTCATTACATGATTTTCGTTAAAATGTATATTTTAGGAGATATTTGCAAAAGGACGAAGAAAAACGCCAAAAATATATGAATTTTTAGTGACCAGTAACTTGAAAAGTATTAGTTTTTTTAAAAAACTATAAAATACATTATTTTTTTATAATTAGTTTTCCTATCAATTTCCGAGGTTATTTTGAAAAAAGGTAATTACACAATTGAGAAGGGGTGTCATCCCCCCCGGGTGGTGATAACGCAATCCGAATTGTTTTCACTTTTGAACTTGAGTGTAAGATGAACCTAATTCCAAAATTTCATTCAATTCGGAGCACAGTAAAAAAAATCAGACCTAAAACGCTCCGTTTACTGCACTACATGTATTCTGAGGTGAGATACGAGGTTGCGCATGGCACATTTTCGGAATTGAGATACGTGATTGTATTTTTCTCAATAAAAAACGTTCGGTTGATTTTTTTTTACAAAACTTCACAGATCTATGCGTCTATATTTAGTGATTGATTTTCCGATTAAAACTCAAAATCGTCAAAAATCGAGTTACGAGGTTGCGTCAGAAAACCATCGATATATTTTCTCTGTCCATTATCAGGTATCAAGCTGACGAACTGCACGCAACAGAAGTCGACCTCCAAGAAATCGAAGCCGAACAAAACAACCAGCGCCAGAACCAACAAAACCACCATCCCCATCCCCATCCCCATAATCAGCAGCAAGACACCACCAGCAACCATCACGAGCAGGCTATTGCAGATACAAGTTTTTGTGAGAACAGCAGCGAGTTTGAAATTAGGGAAATTGAGGAGGACGACGAGCAGGAATTCGAGGAGCAGCAGGTCACCAGCAGCAGTCGAAGGAGGAAGAAGCCTGATAACAATGATAGGAAGTGCTCCTTTGTTTGTCCACTTTGTGCAGACTCTTTCGATTCGAGGGAGCAGTATAATGAACACGAGGCTGAGTGCCAATTGCTGTTATGTAAGTAGTAATAGAAATTTATATATATATATATATATATATATATATATATATATATGTATATTAGGGTGGTCCTTAAAATGGTCATTTTCGAATTTCCTTGCTCCCAGGGGCTCAAATGGTTCCAAATTGATAAAAAACAATTCTCTGAAAGTTTTAGCTCTTAATATTAACATTTATATAGAGCGCAATTCAATCAAACTTCGTATGGAAAGAATAAGTTTTATTCATTCATTTGTTCGCTAAATTACATCTAAAAACATTTTTAAAATTTTTGAAAATTTTTCCATGCTATTTCCATACAAAACTTTGATTTGGTAATGAGAGCTCTATATATTTTTCAATTTCACTTTAATAAATTCAAAGAATAAAATTTCAATTTAATTTCTTTGGAAATTAAAATAAAGTAAATTGGTCCAAAAATTAAAAAAAAAATGCTAGGAGTGGACAACCCTTGATAAAATAAATAGTATTTTGAAGTAAAAAGAGTTGTATATATTTTGTAAATTACGCATTAAAAAATTTAAAAAAGTATTAGACAACCCTTAATAATAATAATTTTCAAAAAACATTGGTTAACCTTTAATAATAATAAATTGTATTCTAAAGAAATGTTACAGATTATCTAAAAATTATGTAAATTGTCTGAAAATGCTGCAAATTGTCTAAAATCGTTGTAAACTGTCTGAAAAAGTTGTATAATTTTTGAAAATTCTGCATTTTGTCTAAAATTGACGTAATTTGTCTGAAATTGTAGATTGTCTAAACATGTTGTAAATCATGCCTAAAAATGCTTTTTTTTTCAAACTTAAAAATCTGAACAAAAATTGTCAAAAATATTCAATGCGGGATAAAAAATGATTGAATTGCTAAAATGGCTATACAAAAGTAGGAGTGATAAAAAGTATAAAAGTAGGGTTGTTATAATAAAGCCACATTATAGTAAAGTAAAAACAAACAAAAAATCGTTCAAAATTTAAAAAATAAAAATTAAGTGTGAACAACTCTTATTACTTAGCGGTATAAAAAATAGTTACTAGACGATTCTCAGATCTACTGAATACGAATATAAAATTTGGTAAAAATCGGCAGTCCTTATCTAAATCTAAACCATACAAATCTAAAGGTTTACCTTGAGCTTTATTGATCGTGATTGCAAATAAGTTAATATTTAAGATTTTTCTTTAAGCTCAGAAATATCAATTAAAATCAGAGACCATGGGCTCTGATGGGTTTTTGAAGAAATTATTAAAGTTTTTATATCGTTTTAAAATTGTGTCCGCTTGTGATATTATTTGCAAATAAAATATTCTGGTTTTTAGGAATTTATACCAGCTGTACTGTATATAGATAAGGACTATAATTTTAGTATGTTACTGCTAAAAGTATATACTATAATAGTACATTCTTGAAAGTTTTTAGGCAAATTATTAAAATTTTTGAACAATTTACAAAATTTTTAAAGTGAAATTTTATATGTGTCGGGATAATGGGTATTCGAGGAATGAGGACATCTTCACCTTTCATAGATGTCCACTTTATTCCTTATTTTCTTAGAATATTTTTTTTTAGAATTTCTTAGGTATTTATAAGTATTTAACTATGTATCTTCTTATCCCAGGTGACAGTGATTCCGAATTATCCGACAAAAAGGGCTTGGAAAAATTCATGGGGCCAAAATTGAATTGTCTTCAGTGCGATCGACAATTTAATCACAGGAACAGTCTTATGTATCATATTCAATCACACAGTGAAAAAAGGCCATACCAGTGCGAAATTTGCGGAAATAGTTTCTTTGCCACCAGTGCCTTGAAGGTAATAGAAGTCATAAATAAATAAATTATTTTGGAATTTTTTTAAACATTTTTTTAACATTTTTTTAGGTTCATATGCGCCGTCACTCCGGCGACAAACCATACCAGTGCCGGATTTGTCTAAGGCATTTCAGGCAATGGAGCGATTTAAAATACCACATGGTCTCCATCCACTCCGACATCAGGCAATACCAGTGCGAATTTTGCGGAAAAGATTTTGCCAGAAAATATTCCCTGATTTTACATCGGAGAATACACACCGGCGAGAAGAACTACAAGTGCGAATTCTGCAACAAGACTTTTAGGGCCAGTTCTTATTTGCAGAACCATCGGAGGATACACACAGGTAAAATAATAGACACATGGTAATAGGATTTATATTTATATTTATTAGGGTGGTCCTTAATATGGACATTTTCGAATTTCCTTGCTCCCAAGGGCTCAAATGGTTCCAAATTGATAAAAAACAATTCTCTGAAAGTTTTAGCTCTTAATATTGATCTTTTAAATAGAGCGCAATTCAATCAAAGTTTTGTATGGAAATAGCATGAAAATTTTCAAAAATTTTGCGGAGCGTCGAATTTTCAATAAAAAATGACACGAATTTTCACTTTTAATTATTTGTCGCTAAGTTATACCTAAAAAATTTTTTTTTAATTTTCAAAATTTTTTCCATGCTATTTCCATACGAAGTTTGATTGAATTGCGCTCTATCTAAAAGTTACATATTAAGGAGCACCCTAATATTATATTTAAATTTATATTTATATTTATATTTTGCATTATATTCATATTCATATTTATATTTATATTTTATATTAACTTCCCGTAGGGGTAGTTATAGTAATGGGCCGAAAATCGAGAATGAAAATTTTTGCATTTCTCGACGTTCTGAAGGTTTCTGAACATTTTGGCATACCTAGAAAAATGCATGTGTGTGTGTGTTTTTTGTATGTCCGCATTCTTTCGTCCACGTTTTCGGGCGCACAGATCAACCGATTAGAATGGTTTAAAAAACATTCGATCCCTTTTGATAGGGAGATGTGCTGATTAGTTTTTGGCAAAGGCAGGTCCAGTCGTTACGCAGATACGGAGCAAAGAGTACGGAAAATACAAATCGAGTTTTTGAGAAAACGGAGTATCGGATTTGAATGATCTAAAAAACATTCAGTTCGTAATGATTGGGAGAAGAGGTGATTAGTTTTTGGCAAAGACAGGTCCTGACATTTCGTAGAAACCGAGCTAAATGTGCAAAAAATGACAGTGTTTGAGTGAACTAAGCGTCCGATTTGAATGATCTAAAAACTTTCTGCTTGTTTCAACACAATAATTGCTTTTGGAAAAAAATATTTCTATTTTTTTTTTCAAAAAATATTTTTGTAATTTTGGATTAAAAATTCAAAAAATTGCCCAGACTAAACACAGTCTAAGCGCCACTCTGGTATAAATGTTTACCCAAGTGCGTTTAGACTGTTTAGGTACTGGAACACTTGTCCAATTTTGTGAAAATTATTGAAAAATGTGAAAATGCCGCCAAGCTAAGCACAGTGTAAGTGAAAATGTCGCACAGAATTATTTGCAAGTGCGTTTAGACTGTGACTATACGGGAGCACTTTTTCAATTTTGTGCAAATTAGGAAACTATTTTTTTTTTTTTTGAAATTGAATTCGAAATCAAATGACGATTGTTAATGTAATAATTGATTTATGATTTACATTTGATTTGCTCGGATAAAACAAGATAGCAAAAATAATGAGAGTTACAGTATTTGTAACAATATATTTGAAAACTTTTAAAATTTCTCGAATATTTCATTACGGTATGGGAAGTTCCAGCAATTTGCCTTAAGGCACGGTGCCATACACCACTAGTTATATTTATATTGTGACTTGGTTCTTTTTTAGGTGAAAAGCCTTACCCTTGTGAAATTTGTGGAAAGCCCTTCCGTGTCCGAGGTGATATGAAAAGGCACATGTCGACACATACCAGAGAAAGATCTGCGAATGGTAATTGTAATGGACAGACTTCCAAAACTGTAACCAAAAAAGAAGATTTGAAGATCGAGAATAAAGAGACCAATGGGGATGCTGCACAGGATTCTAAAATCGATCTGAGTTAGTATACATAGAAGAAAATGGCTAAATTTCAATCTATACTAACGTTTATTTTTGTTATTTTCTACAGATACAAATGGGTTGTCCACCAAATCATCAGAATCCAGTACTAATAATAAGATGCAGCAGCAGTTCACGATGGATGACAGTGATAGTTCGGGTTCTAAATTGCATAATATGAAAATGGAGATTATTGATAGTACTAATACGAAGTATATAGATGCCAATCAGTTACAGGTAAATGAAAACAACAACAAAAAACTTACTATACTATAAAATTCTTTTTTCTGATGCTGCAAGTTTAAATTTGTGAGGAAAAATATTTTTTTAATATTTATTTTATAATTCAAAAATTTAATACATAAATGCGTGACAACTTTCCAGACAATTTATAATATTTTCAGACAATTTGCAGAAGTTTCGGACAAGTTAGAAGGTTTTTGGATAAGTTAAAACGATTTTTGATTAAGTAAGGACAGATATAGATAAGATAGAAATTTTTCGGACACGTTAGAAGACTTTTAGACAAGTTTCAACTAATAACACTTTTAGAAAATTCAAAACACTTTCAGACAATTTAACATTTTAAGCAAGTTACATTTTTAGACTATCTACAACATTTTTAGACAATCTACATCATTTTCAGATGATTCACAATATTCAAACTATTTTTTACATTTTAAGACAAGCTACAACATTTTTAGATAGTTTGCAGAATTTTCAGAAATTATACAAGATTTTCAGACGATTTACATCACTATTAGTCAATTTACAGCATTTTCAGTCAACTTTCAACATTTTTCAACTATATATAACATTTTCAAACAAATAACGAGTTTTTCCAATAAGTTACAACATTTTCAGATGATCTATAATATTTGTAGACAATTTATAACTTCCTCAGACAATCTTTAACAGTTTTAGACAATTTACAACATTTTTAGTCAATTTATATCATTTCCAGACAATTTA